TTGTATGGCGAGGAATTTGAGTTATTCTCTGATCACAAGAGCCTCAAATACCTCTACACTCAGAAGGAGTTGAATATGAGGCAACGGAGGTGGATGGAGAAGATGAAGGATTTTGATATGACTCTTCAATATCATCCTGGAAAGGCGAATGTGGTAGCAGATGCCTTGAGTCGGAAACCGAGAGGATTAGTTGCCTTTATGATGATTCAGGAGTGGATGATGTTAGAGGCATTGGCAGAGTTTTCTATCATGCCGAGTTCTCAGAGTACAGAGGCTATTCTTTGTAGTTTGACTGTACAACCTACTTTGATCAGCCGGATCATTCATTTTCAGACTCAGGATGACAGGTTACAGACCAAAGCAGTTGAGTCTGTTAATGCTGAAGGTAATGTTGACTGGGCGTATGGAGCTGATGGTGGTATGAGATTTCGAGGTAGGCTATGTGTTCCAGACTTAGCAGATCTCAAGGGAGAGATTTTAGAGGAGGCACGTCACTCTAGGTACACAGTGCACCCAGGTGGCACTAAGATGTATCATGATCTTAAGAGGCAGTTCTGGTGGGAAGGCATGAAACGTGATGTGGCAGAGTTTGTATCTAGATGTCTCACTTGTCAGCGAGTGAAAGCTGAGCACCAGAGGCCAACAGGACTATTATAGCCTTTGCCTATGCCGGAGTGGAAATGGGAACATATGACGATGGATTTTGTTGTGGGGTTACCGAGGTCGATACATAACCATGATACAGTGTGGGTGATAGTAGACCGATTGACTAAATCAGCTCATTTTCTACCCATTCGAGCTACTGATACTGTAAAGGAATTGTGTAAGATCTACATTAGAGACATAGTTAAGCTTCATGGAGTGCCGGTGTCTATTGTCTCAGATTGTGATCCTCGTTTTTCATCTCGATTTTGGAGTAGTTTCCAAGCAGCTTTTGGTACTCCTTTGAGTTTGAGTACTGCTTTTCATCCTCAGACCGATGGCCAGTCCGAGAGGGTCATTCAGGTGTTGGAGGATATGCTTCGTGCTTGTGTGCTAGATTTTCGGGGCAGTTGGGAGGATCACATTCCATTGGTTGAGTTCGCTTATAATAATAGCTATCAGGCTAGTATCGGCATGGCACCATATGAGGCACTTTATGGTAGACCTTGTCGTTCACCTGTATGTTGGGTTGAGGTTGGTGATGGTAGTTTTTTGGGGCCAGAGTTGGTGCAAGAGACTACGGAGAAGGTTGCCATCATTCGAGATCGACTTCGCACAACTCAGAGTCGACAGAAGAGCTATGCAGATCGACGCCGTCGTGCTTTGGAGTTTAGTATGGGTGACTTGGTGTTCTTGAAAGTATCACCAATGAAGGGGGTTACGAGATTTAGCAGGAAGAAAGGGAAGTTAGCTCCTCGATTCATTGGACCTTTTGAGATCACAGAGAGGATTGGGGAGGTGGCGTATAGATTAGCTTTACCACCCAGACTATCTACTGTTCATGATGTTTTCCATGTCTCCATGTTGAGGAGGTGCTTGAGGGATGAAACTCAGGCCATTGACTGCACAGAGGTCCAGATTCGTCTTAATGCAACCTATGTTGAGATGCCTATTCGCATTGTTGACAGTATGGTGAAACAGTTGAGGCGGGCAGAGATACCTTTGGTGAAGGTGCAGTGGAATCATCAGGACGAGAGAGAGGCTACTTGGGAGCTAGAGTCAGAAATGAAGGAAAAGTACCCACAACTCTTCGAATAAGGTATGCAAATTTCGAGGATGAAATTTCTTTTTAGGTGGGTAGAATGTAAAACCCTTAAATTTTGTATATTATATTTTATTATTTATTATTTATTATTTGAATGTTAAATTAAAGATATTAGAGTTTTTAAAATTTAAATTTAAAAAAAAAAAAAAAAAGAATTCTAAACTATCTCAACCACAGTTATAATTATCTTTTATAACTCATGCCGTATCAGTTCTATAGAGATATTATTTGTAAAACAAAAAAAAAAAAAAAAAAAAAAAAGAAAGAAAAGAAGAGAGAAGCGTGAGATATTGAGAGTGATATTTAAAGTTGACGTCTGTGGTAGCCAGAAGGTAGACGGTGACTGAGAAATTTCCTAGAGAAGAAGGAGAAATTATATTTCAATAGTCGAGTCTGAAAAGGAAGGTGAAACGATATTTGAGGCAAGTTAATCTTGCTTTGTACACTTATATATATTTGTGACTTGATCTATGTGTATTACTTATAAATCATTATAGCATGTGTTAATGGGTTACAGTATATCAAGGTCATGTTAGTTTAGGATGGCAGCATTATGAATAATAAATTGTATGGAATTAAACATTTATAATATTAAAGTTATTGTTACCTATTAGTTATTTGTGTATGATTGAATGTGAAATCATCTTGGTGGAAATAATGCATATGTACGGATATATATATATATATATATATATATACAAGGTGTAATTGAATACACTAGTTGGTGAAACTGATTTCTTATATACACTAGTTGGTGAAACTGATTTCTTATATACACTAGTTGGTGAAACTGATTTCTTATATGAGTATATATTGTATAATATATTATATATATATATATATATATATATATGTGTATATGTATGTATATATATATAAATGAATATATAAGAATCTGATTTGGTGTGATTATATTTCTTTTTTGAATGAGAATTAGAGGCTGTTAGAATATATATATTTTATACATAAATTAATGTATAGTTTAAGTTTTAGATTCACTGTAATATTTCAAAACAAAGTCCTATGACACTATAATATATAGTGAATGTTGGGAATCAACTAAAACAGACTAGATAGTTGAGAAAAATGATACAGATATGATTGTGGGCAGGAAGACCCACTTTGGTGTCTTTTATGATTCAACCATTCTCGGCGACAGTGGGTGTGGAACAGTGTGCTGTTGTATTGAATTGAAATAATGCATTTAACTATTATTATTATTATTTAATTAGTTTTACATTAGAAAATTATGGAAAATAGTACTGTTATTTCAAAAATTGTGTTAAATTCCAGAATATTAGTTTTAGGTATAATGATCTTATTTGTGCTGAAATCTAGATTTTTAATTGACTATTTGTTAGTTTTACGAAATTTAAACATGAAAAAGTATTATTTTTCAGCACCAAAAGGGAGAGTACAGAAAAATTATTAAGAGTTAGATTCTAAATTTTTGCGGTTTATTATATCTAATGTTAGGCTATGTCTAGGAATTTTGTACTCTCACTAGTTGGGTCTTTAAGGTTCTGTTTTTTTTATTTGAAATGGTATTTGGGTGTATTAATTATTAATCTGAATTATTAATTAATAATACCTTTCATAATTCACTAAAATTATTAATTAATGGATGAGTTTGGATTAGTCGGAGGGGTAGTCAGGGACTTGTCCTATGATGACTTTTGGGTATGGTCAGGGACCTACCTATTTAGGAGTGCACTACCCTTTTGTTATGGCCATGGGTCTAATGAGCCCTTATTGTGTGGACGTGATCAGGGATCATCTGGAGAGTAGACGTACAATCCAGCCACACGTGTGTTTTTGGTAGTCAGGGACTATACGATTCACACCACTTTATTGGACGGGAGCCAGGGGCTCATGCGAGAGATGTGGATTTATTAATGAATAAATAATAGATATTTATTGAGTTTATAATTAAGTGGGATTTACATATATGATTAAAGCACTTATTTGAGCTGCTTATATATATAAGAATACAAGGTGAGATTAATTTGCTGAACGATGATTGTGTTTAGCATTTATTGCTGAGCTTGTGAGCTCACCCTATTATCACACTTCAGGTACACGTTGAGTAGGAACGTGATGGGATCACATGATGGTGATGGATTTTGGCCAGCTTTATGTATTTTTTTGGTTTAGTTAATTTTCGCATTGTAATAAGAATGGCGATATTTTTCTTTTGAGTTAGTTCATTTTGGTCCAGTTATCGTGGATTATTTTTGACAAGGTTGTTTGATACTATGGTTGTATCAATTTAATAATTAGAGGGTGGTTTGAATCTACCTCTTTATTTGATTATTTTTTATTTTATTTTATTTTTTGTAATGTTGTGGTTCTGTAATGAAAGTCATGCCAGACTTTAATACAAGACAGGAGTTCATGTATTTAAGATTTTTTTTTTGGGGCATGACAATTAGAATCACAAAGTGGAGGAAAAACAAAAGTACAACCAAGACAATGATCAATGAAAAAACTTCTTGTTTCTATTCTTAGGAGGTGGGGAAGTTGAATCTGACCAAAAAATTTAAATTTATCTGATCAAACGAACAATTGTAGAGCCACAATTGAACTGTGCTATTCATGAACAGCTTGGGTTTACCTCATGTTGGGTTTACCTCATGTTTGCTCATTAAGTAAACGAGTCAAACTATATCAGTAATTCAGTATCCATATACTCAATTATTAGACGACTGGAGGTTGAGCAATGATAAGATGAGTTCGTTTGGCTCGTAAACATATGCTAATATATCTATTTTCTTTTCGTAATTTTGAAAAGGTTCATATCTATTTATGAATAAAGAAAGTAACAAAAAATAATATAGATATAAAAATAAAACCAACAAGTTGAGCCAAGCTCCAATTTAATTTATTGAGCTTGTCACAAGCTCGAACTGAGCCCAAAAATGAACAAATTGAGCCCGAACAGTGTCGAGCTCAATTTGGCTTGGTCATTTGAAGCCCTACAAACAAGTAAAGACATACTTCAATTTTTACCATGATATTAAACTATCTTAGATAAAAAAATGAAGTCACTTTCCCATTAATATTCACCAGACCAACTAAGAAGATAAACCCAAACAAGAATTCATTTTAAAAGTACTCCTATTTTACATATTTTCTTAACAACTCAACCATATAACATTCAGAAATTCAACAAAACTTCAATATGACTCCTGTGTTTATAAAATTCTAACCAAACATAATTGTCAATGCCCAGTGTTATTAGTGAAGCCCTTACTTGCATCTGACGATGACTGGAATAGGTTTGAGAGCCTTTGGTCCATTTCTTATGCCTTTTCTGTGGGGAGAAACCTGCACAGTCAAGAAAACCATCAAAACTGTTTCCTTACATTTGAAGAACTATCATTCACCCAAAATTTTACAGCTTACAATATATGTGTGTGTTTATATATATATATATATATATATATATATAGAGAGAGAGAGAGAGAGAGAGAGAGAGAGAGATTTATGAACAGGGGAAATAAACTTCAACTAAGATTAATTTCCCTGATTGATCATTGCAGATCAAGAAAAAATTTGTTAGATGCCACAAACATAGTGATGTAAATAATTATAGAATTACCACCGAGCAACAATAATGAAAAAAAAAAAAAAAAATTACCCCACGGACAGTGATGATAGTCCACACCATTATATCAAGAGGAAAAAACTCTACTCAAGATTTTAACACATTTGACATTTTTTCCAAGAAATTTTTACTTTCAACACCAAATAGGAAATGTATTAAAAACCACGGGCGGATCCCTAAATGAAATTGCTGTTATAATAAACAAGTAGGTTTTAAATACAAGAATTATCAAAAGTGCTCACAATGTTAAGCCACCTTCTCCAAAGCATTTGACCATGGAAAATAGGCCAGAAGCATATTGCTTTTAAAAATATCATAACTACGTAACTCAATCAAATCAACAGTTGGGAATTTTCATGCTAGTCAATGAAACTACAAAAAATGTGGATCAAAGCGAGGTGACTGCAGTGCCAAAAGCACAAGTACGATATATTAATGAAAAATATAAGGCCAAAATCATTATTTTTTGCCATTAGAAGACAAATGAGTAGACAGGAACAAAAATTAGAAGTGGAACAGTGGAGAAAAGTATCAAGGAAAATCCAAAACAAACAGTAATTGTTTCCTCGTGTGATTCTAAATAATGGATAAATAACTTGCCTAAACTTGTAACTTGTTATACAAAAAATTATTGAGGGCAAGACAAATAGAATGGAAGCTTCCAACCACAAATAGAATGGAAGCTTCCAACCACAAACTGTACAAACAAAAGACCAGGAATTTTAGAAGCAAGATCCACCCAAGAAAAAGGGAGGGGGGGGCCTGCTTCTTCCAACCCAAATATTTTTATGAAGCAAAATTCGAATTAAATTATAGATAAGAATCAATATGGAACTATATTACAAACGAACCTAATAAAAAAACAAGAAATATATATATATGTATGTATGTATGCATGCATGCATGCATGCATGTGTGTGTATAAAGTTCACATAATTCTTCATGAACCCAACAATACGTCCCACAAAAAATAGAAATGAATAAATAAAGCCCAATGATATTATCCTTTCAAATAAAAAATCCGTCGTAAGAAATCATTTACTTAAGTCGGTCTAGCCTGCAAGGGTAGATTTACTTAAGTTCAGCTAGTTAGGATTTTTTTTTTACTCACAATTGTTAAACTTAAGGACTTGTTAACCTATATCTCCATCCAATCAGTTCTTATTTGTTTGAGCACTCATAGAGAAGAATTGCAAGGATAATGAAATGATTGAACAACATATCTACTATAAAAAGAAAAAGGCTGTGCTATTTGCACTCCAAGTTTGGCTTTTTGCACTCCATACTTCTCTTAATATTTGAAAATACAATTTTACCCTTTTCATTTTTAGATAAAACCACCAAGTCTCCTGTCCTAATATCTCCCCAGTGAATCATCTACTACTTCCAACAATTCTTCATTCCACTAGTAGAAATGAATCTATCTCATGTTTATGTATCTTTGTGAGTCCTTTTTATTCTCTATTCATTGAACTCTCACTCAGTTTGAAAGACCATCCAAATTTTGCCCCAAATGACTCATGTTGTGTAGTGGACAACCCACTGACTGACAACTAAATGATAATATCATCACTTTCATAGGAATTTGCTTCCACGAATATAGGAATCTCATTGGTTAAATATTTTCTCCATCTCTTGACATCCAGGTGTATGTGTATATTATATTGAATTCGTGTGTGCGTGTGTGTGTGTGTGTGTGTGTTTTTTTAAGATCTGAATCCCATATTTTCTGATAATCTTTCCCTCTCTTTTCTTCTATGTTTTCCTTTTCTAGCAGGAAATCACAACATAGCTCCTTCATTGCCACCTTGCACTGATTTTGAAACCTTCACAGTCACATTATTCAACACTGACTCTGTTTTCCCTCATCACAAATCTCTTTCTTCAGATTGAATTTACTTTCATTCTATCAAATGTCAGTCGACCTGAGCAACCAACCCAGGGTAGTTCATTGTAGACCCCAACAAATGTAACAAACAATCCCAATAATCATATATAAGAGCGTAAAGATATATGCACAAAGTTGTTAAGAGAGAGTTTTAGATAGACAAAGATTTCATTTTGAGCTTTGTAAACAAGGGGTGGAGCACAAAAAACCAAACTTGGAGTGTGAATAGCTGCCAAAAAAATAAAAAATAGAAAATAACAGGGTTGAACAATACTATTATAATTGAAAACTTCAAGTACATTTAATCATTAATTAGATGAACAAGGGCACAAGGTAGAACATGCTAAAAGATACATTCCGCCTATATTAATGTTTCCCCAAAGGACGAAGCACTAGATAAATCGTATACAATATCCAGCAGAAAAAGTTAAGGAACTCTAGAAACAAAAACGAAATGATTATGCAACTAAGCTAATATCCGAGCATCAATTAAAATATTATTGCACCAAAACCTCAAAAACAACCGCACCCAATACATGATAATCAAAACCCTAAACCCTAAAACCAACCATACCAATACATAATAACCAAAACCCTATAAACAATCATACCCAATATGAAATAATCAAAAACCAAATGCCAACACAGAAACAAGAAAAAAATAAAAATAAATAAAAATAAAAATAAAAATTATACAACCGAAATTATATTGTTTGGAGTGCGAAATGAAACATGAGAAATGAAATGAAGTCACCTTCCTCTTGGGGACAGCCATGACCTCCAACGATCCACCACCGAAAGAGAAGCTCGGGAACTCGAATTCAGTGTTGTTGTTCCAAGAGTCCCGGTGAGATTCGGGCAAAACCAACGGCGGTGATACAGTCGTAGGGTTGTTGATCGCAGAATCAAGCGGCGCAGATTGGGAGATGATGGCGTGAGTCCACCTTCTGAACCCTAGTTTGCACCCCATGTTCCCCAATACGCTGCTCTGCATCGCCACCCTAAACGCCATTGTTGCTGCGCAGGTTAGGGAAATGAGAGAGGCAAGTTAACGGGCCTTGAGTTTCACAGTCGACTTGAAACGACACCGTATCACTTATCAACGCAGCACGCAATGAGTTTTCTTTTATTTATTTCTTTTCTATTAGTATTATTTTTATTATTTTTTAGAAGTTTTTTTGAGTAAGTTGAAGAGGTATATTGCTCCAACTTTTGAAGGAAAAAAAAAAAAAAAAAAAGGTTTGAAGAGTTATTTAAGAATAGATTTTTAATTCGATTTCTCTTCACTGAAGATACAAGAATTTTATTATTTATTGGTAGTTTAAAAATGTCAAAAAATTATAAATATTATCCGCAATTTTTAACAAATGTCAGGAATTTTTTTCTAATTTCAATGATTTGCAATATATTTTAGTTCAAGTTTAAATTTAATGTTTATTTATTTTTTAACGCACTTTTAGGTGACAAGAACATAGGTTCCATTAAGGCTCCATTTGTTTAGACGTAAAATATATATATATTTATTTATTTTATGGTGTTTGGTTGTTGTAAAATATTTACGAAGAAAATAACTATTAAAATTTAACAAAAATAACTTATTCATTAATTTTCGGCAAATTATTTTACATACCCCGCCTGATGGACTCGACCTCAACCTCGACGTAGACCTTTGTCAAACACCTACAAAGTAGAAATAAAAGAATATTTTACCTGAAAAAATAAAATATTTTTCAAAAAGAATATTTTACGTCGAAACAAACGGAACCGACGCTCCATTAAATTAAGGCTCCATTTTTTTATGTAAAATATTTTTTTATTTTTTGGTGTTTGATTTTCGTAAAATATTTACAAAAAAATATATATATTAAAATTTAACAAAAATAATTTATTCATCAATTTTTGACAAATTATTTTACATGCCCCGCTCGATGAATTCGACCTCAACCTCGGCACCTCTATCAAAGACCGAAAAGTAAAAATAAAAGAAAATTTTACCTGAAAAAGAAAAAAAAAAATATTTTTAAAAAATATATATTTTACGGAGCCTAATTAGTTAAGTTTGTAATAGTATAACTCATCAGTCTTAAAATTATTTTTCTTATTCTATTGAATGAGTTGTGAATTAATACGCGATATCATATCATTACTATACCAGAAACATTTAACTTTTTATCGTTCCATGGACTGATGGTTATTTTTGACTTGCACATATATGTCAATTTTTTTGTTTTTAACCAAACCTATATGTCAATTGAAATGATCTAAATAAGTAGTATTCATTTAGCCGCTATATGATGAGCTTTGATGTGTGGTTTAATGTGTCTCTTTCCTTCTAGTGTGACCTTTAAAATTCATTCCAGTTCTAATATTTCAATTAGAATCTCTATATTCTTGTCTGACTCTGCAAAAATTGGGTCATTGTGTTGACCCTCAAATCGGCTCCTAGAATCTGATCTTAAATTGATGAAAAATAGGAGTGCCAGAACTAAATATACGGTTCAATTGTATATTGTCAACTTATAATCTCTTAGGAAATGTTAACTTCAATCGATTATAGGAGATAAAGAACAAATAAACTCCTAAATGAGTTCAATATTGCCTTAATTAAAAAGGACTTTCTGTAAACAAATTATAGTAACGTAACAAGATAATAGAAAAGGGGAGATAATAGATATAGCAAGAAAAGAAAAGGAAAGAATAAGGAGAGAGGGAGAGAGAGAGAGATTGAGATAGAGAGATAGAGATGAAGAAGAAATAGCAAGGATGTTATTCTTAGAAAGGCTTGAAGAAGCAAACAAATAATAATAAGGATTCTGAGGGTGCTGGACCTCTAGTACAGTGTTGTTGGTTTCCTTGATGGAGTCGCCACAACCAACAAAGCTTAAAAGTTGTGTGTATTTAGGAGGTGGCCAAGTTTTACATTTATAGAAAGCCACTACTACCTTTCTCTATATAAAATATAGATAGGGCGAGTAGGGATCGTCCCAAGGGATTTGATGGTGTATCGAATTGTGAAACTATGGTAATTAGGGTTAGTAGGTCGAGTGATCACACAATTGATTGATTGGTTGATTAAGCTAAATTGAATTCAACTAAATAAAATAATATGAAGTAAACAAGAGAGAGGGAGGTCTTGGGGTGTAGAGATCACCACCAAGCAATACTTTTCTATACTACTAACAAGTGATCAATTGAGGGTAATGGATGTGTTGCAATATGATAAGGGTGTGTGTGCATTAGGTTGATTCAATTGGCAAGGATGACAAATCAAGCAACTATTGTCTAAACATCATGTGAAGAGCACAATATATCTAAACATTAGAGCATATATTGTCTAGACAACATAGGGATAGTACAATAGATCAAAACAAGTCATTAATCCTTCATTAAATTCACAATCCACATACAACACAATATTAGAGGAATATGCCATTTGGACTCACAAGCATGGAACATCAAACATTAAGAGTAGATTATCCTCCCATCTAACATTACACTATCACTACACTAAATTTACACTACTAGCATGAAAATAAAGCTATCTAGACTAGGGGAGAGGCACAAACCATCAAGAATAGGCATAAACCATTAAATGAACCAAAATAGCATTCATTAAGCATATCATCTTGATAATCTCTAGATCTATAGCATCAATACACATAGACATGCATTAAAAACACTAAATCTAGGGATAAGTACATGAATATCCTACTCTAGCATACATAGACATATGGATAGAATAGAATAATCAATTGGAAGCATTAAACCATACAAACCATGAAATAATCAAGATTTATATATACATGAATATCAAGATGTATCATACAACACTAATCCCTCAATAATACACAAGATTAGAGTATAGAAAGCATGCTTGGGGCTAACTCTAGCCCCAAGAGGATGTCTAGCCACTCATGGTAGTGATGATCCAACCCTCAAGGGCTAACTCCATGGCTGTTCCTTGTTGGTGAAGATCTCCTCCAATGGTTGCTCTAGCTTCCTCCCTTCTTCCTCTCCAAGAATAGCCTCCAAGATGATTTTCAATGTGTGTCAAGTGTCTCTCTCAAAAAGTGTATCATATTCCTTATATAGGTAGGTCAAATACACCCCATGATGAGCTGTGGTCGTGCAAGGCATATTCTCCAATCATTAGATGAAGGACGGAATAAATGAGCTGGACTTTAACTTTTTCTCGCTGGAGGAAGTTCAATCGATCTAACCTTAACTTGGATCGATCGAAAATAGGTTCGATCGATCGAACTGCATCTTAGATCGATCGAAGTGGTCTGACTCCTCCGGATAAGGACAAGGCTGAGATATTTCGAAGATATTTATAGGGAAAAGGACAAAAGTGGTTGGTAGGCGTACAGCTGTGGATAAGATCAATCATTTGAATAGGACAAAATAGGGTTCGATCGATCGAAGGTGATGTTGGATCGATCGAACTTTGAATTTCAGCAAAGGCCAAGGTTGGATCTATCGAGAAGTACTGTGATCGATCATAGATGTTCGATCGATCGAACTCTAAGTTGGATCGATCGAACTTTTCAGCTGCACAACTTGATTCCTTTTTACTCCTTTCTTTCTCCACTTTGCTCCCTCCTTTGGTTTATCTCAGGATTGCTTCAATTAAGCTCTTATTTGGCTGAGTTAGCTCAATTTTGGGATTAGTGCCTGAAAATATAAATAACACGTAATAAGTCTAAAATGGCAAAGTAAGATAGATAAAGGTACTAGAATGCTTAAGCTTAACGGGTTTAAATGCGCACTTTTCAGTGCTCATCACACCCCCAAACTTAAATATTGCTAGTCCCTAGCAATGAACTAAGAAGTAAAGGAATGAAATAAACAACTATACAAGTATAAACTGGAAAGCAAGTAAAATGATAACACCATTTTCGTAAGGAACACGATTGCATTTAGCATATGCAACAAGCCTTTTAAACCTCTAGGTTACCCCTAGTGGATGAGTAAAGTCTCGTGAGGGTTTCCAGAAATGGTACCCACAAACATTAAGCTCATTCTTTCAAAGGAGGCACCAATATTGCAAACAAGCATTGGAAGAAAACTACCTCAAGTATGCAATTTTTCAACCGTTTCTAAGCAATCTCCTAAAATTTCAATATCAAGCAAGCAAGTATGGTCCTCCACATATCAAGAGAATGATTATGAGAATCGAAACAAGTCTAGAATCCATGTGAGAGGTCCGGCATCAAGTGTGTTGCTATCTTAGCCAACTAGAGAAGTAATCACATCCTTACCCTCAAACTAGTAAACAAATCTAGTACCGATCATCAAGATGCGAGTTAGGTCAATGACTCCCAAACTAGATGGCTTTAAGGCATTAGGTGTTAAGACACCCCAACGGACTTACAAACTCAAATCAACTAGGCTACAAATCAAGATAACAACCATCTAATCATTTCCCACTTCTCGCCTTTTGGGAGAAGTCCTCACTTTTATTGCTTTTGCAACTTCTTTTTTTTTTTTTTTTTTTTTTAATTATTAACCTAGAGTTTGGGCCCTCAACCTTTCGGCGCGAGAAGTTCACTACTTAATGAGGCAAGAATCCCAGCTACTCAATGAAAAGGGGTTGTTATCCACCTTTATCAAGAATGAAAGCTTTCAATACACTACTAGCCCAATTGGGATATAACCAATTCAATAATCAACAAAACATGTACCCCACAATTGAATGCTAGCGTGCGCCGGTGCTAGTGTAGAATCCTAGAATGAATCTCAAAACAATCACAAATTCAGGATGATGTGGACCACAAATGCAAGCAAGATTTCAATCTTTTGAAAAATTTACTCCTAAATGGCATTCAAAAGGCATACAAAGAGTATTGGACTCTCAAGTCAAGCAATTTTTAAATTTTAAGCAATATAGTCCTCAAAAGATCAAAATCATAGCTAGAAATGGACCAAGTATAGAAATATCCCTCAAATACACAAGACATGCTCAAAATTTGAATTTTAAAGCAAAACTGAAATATACACCAGTACCCCCAAACTTAAACTGCACATTGTCCTCAATGTGTGA